CAGTCTCACCCCTCCTTCTTCCAACTTCTTACTTAGCCCTTAGGTTGGTGTTTACGCTTATGATGGTGGGATTAAGGTGTCAGGAGGGACAAATCAGAATGCAAAGATTCTGTTGTCTTCTATGAAGGCCGCAACGAGACAGCTTACAGGAACAGTACTCAGCTCCGTGAAATATTTCTCAACTTGTGGTGAGTTTGAGCACAATAATAACTAGAGGGTGTTGGAGGGTTGATCTGGCTCTAAAACAAAGAAATAGGAGAGAACATTCTGGACCTGTGGGCCTGACCTGAGGTTGGGGTTTAAAATGGGACAGAACACACCCAAACCTCCTTATAATGCCATGTGACAAACTAATGCGTGAAACTTGGTTACTACCAGGTCATTGCAAACCTTGATTACTGAACTGGTTCACCAGCTACCCAAAGAGACCCTCCCCTTTTGTGGTTTCATAGCAAACACTTTTCTGGGAAATGAGGGATCTGAGCAAACAGTTCCTTACTCCCAGGATGAACTTGAGGCTTCTGGGACAGTGTGAGGATAGGGAGAGAGCGTGCATGGAAGTGACCGCAGGCACTGTGGGTGGCGTTGCCTTCTCCCTCTGAGGTTAAAGTGTTTGTTTGCTCCATTCTGAAGCAAGGTACATACAAGATTGTCTTTTAATGGCCTTGGTTTGGTTTGTGCTTGGATCTCCAACTTGATTCTCTCTGTCTCAGAGGGACCTTGGATAACATTTATGAGCCTAACTGATCAGTAGAAGAAATAGTAGTCTTCCATCGACCCCTTAGTTCAGTAACAACGAAATTGTCCATCTTCCTCTATGTCTTTGCTGAGATAGAGACCTGGAGGTCCTGGGTGAGTAAGTGACATCAGAGACCCTATCTCAAACCTTCTGGAACTGGTAATGGAAGATCATCCTCTGTAATTTCCCATAATTGATCTTTGCTGCCTGGGTCTAATAGGACATAACTCCAGGTACCTAACATGCTAGTTCTTGACATATCACTTTGCCACATTCACGTCTTTCTACAGAAGAGCAATTTATAATCCCCCAAAGAAGAGAAGTCCCATCCTTTCATTAAACACAGGAATTAGTCTCTACCCCAAAAGAATGGATTTGGGAGAGGCAAAAATGTGAAGCTAAAAATCAAGTCTCATATTTGATTTGGGCATATTTAGCTTCAGGACTGAAGGAAAGCACAATTTTTTAGGAAAACACCAGCAGAATGAGTTTAACCTTTGCTGATCTCTGTGGCCAATAGAACTGACCACATTTCTTCTGCTCTTCCCAAAAGTTTTGCAGAGACATGGAGGGTCATCTGTGAAAGAAACTCTGTAAGGATCAGTTGGCTTTCCCAGTTACTCACAATTGAAACACTGCACATGAAGCACACAGAGCCACAATTATCTACCATGCAGATCCCAAGGTTCAACCCGAGGACTGCTGTGCAACTCTGTGAGGAGTTCAACCCGAGGACTGCTGTGCAACTCTGTGAGGAGTTCAACCCGAGGACTGCTGTGCAACACTGTGAGGAGTTCAACCCGAGCACTGCTGTGCAACTCTGTGAGGAGTCTTCTTCACTTAATGCATCACACTTAGGAGTGTACGAGAATACTGTCCAGGCCTACAGGCGCATCTTCCAAACTAAACATGCAAAAGAAATTCACACAGACAGAGGGAGTAAGATGTGGGTAGTGTGAAAGCCAAGTATGATTTTTAAGTTTTGGGAGGTACTCTTAGAGGTGTCAAAAGATTGGTAAGGAAGTTGTCTCCAGGCAGAACTTTGAGACCAGAAACAAATTAAGAGTTGGGGCATTTGAACAGGCACCAGTAAGGACTGATGCATCTCCTTCTCAGTTCAGGGCAAGGACTCCTCGGCCCTTGACTGAGAGAGAAGAGGTTCCAGAGAGGAACATGTGTCCCAGCCATAGGCTGTTCACATGGCTTTCTTGACGTCTTAAGAGTCTAATATAGAGTTAATTTTTGAACATTTTGTGTCAGATATGCTACTTACATTATTTAATTTTCCTAATGACCTTAAAAGGAAGACATTATTTATTTCATTTTGTGGATGGAATAAGGTTCCCAAAGGATTTGAAGCTTATTAAGAGCAAATAGCCCGTTTGTGGAGCAGGAATTTAAAACTGCATGTGTTTGAGCCTAAAGACTATGTTCTTGGGCTGGTGAGATGGCTCAGCAGGTATGCTGCCAATCTTGATCATCTGAGTTTGATCCCTGGGATTCACATGGTGGAAGGAGAGAATGGATTCCTGAAAGTTGTTCTCTGACCTCCATACATAAGCTGTGGCACAAGTATTATGATATATATATATATATGTATATACATATATATGTAATTTAAGAAGAATATGTTCTTTCTATTGCATTGCCCCTGGCAGTAATTTACCTTAATCTTACATTTTGAACTGTTTCCAATGTAATAAGACCTTGGTAAGATTTTCAGATAAAATGTAGTGCTCAGTGAACTTGGAACTTCTGAGAATTTTTTTTTTGTCTTTTGAGACAGGGTCATCCTGTAGCACCAGCTGGCCTAGAACTCACTGTGTAGACCAGGCTGATCTTGAACTCACAGAGATCTGCCTGCCTTTGCCTCTCCAGTGCTGGGATTAAAGGCATGGCCCGGCAGACAATCCTAATTCTAATAGGTTCTCCACACAAAAGCAGGAAACAAAGTTCATGACTTCTTAGTGTCTTGAAAGAATTAGAACATTTGGGAACCTGGTCTGAGAAGCAGTGCTCTAGTTTTCCCTGTAGCTTTGGCAGAGCCAGGACATGTCAGGTGCAGGTGGCATAGGCTAAGAGCGATGCTACCTTTGGCTGTCCACTGGGAATCCCATAGTCCCAGCTATGCTTCAGAAAGGTACAAGCCCTGCCTGTGTACAGCGCTGGAGCGGGCCCATTGCCCAAGAATTAGATAATCAGAGGAGCTGGCCATGTGCTTTCTAAAGCCACCGAGGACTTGGTGAGGTAAAGCTATCTGTAGTTTCCTCTGTGGAATGATGGAAAAGTCGCAGGCTCGGATCTCATCACTGAATTCCATCACTAATTTACTCACTCAGCAAATACAATCGAATCAACAGCTTACCTATGTGCCAAGAACTGCTGTAGGTAGTGAGACTGCAGAAATGTAAAGGTGGCCTCATGAAGGCCATTCCAGTAGGGGGATAAACGCAAAAGGGAATCACAGCAAGGCAACCGGGTTTATCTCTGGCAGCAGTTCACAGGTGGTCATTGTGTTTCTACTGAACAATCTGAGCATCAGAAGGCAAGAACGATGACAGTGAACGGGGAAAAGAAAATAAGACCAAAATATCTCGACGATCCTAAGGAAAAAAAAAAAAAAAAGAACTTGAAGTCACATCATATAACATTAGAGGACTGATCACAAAGTGGGGAAAAAATAAATGACTAAGTCAAAGATTAACCAGAGGGTTGAAGTTAAGAACATTAGCTTAAACCTTCAAAGAGTGAAATAAGGGATCCTACACAAATGAAGTTTCCATGCCCTAGGTTATGGAAGGGGTTGGCTGAGGTAAGAGGTTAAGGCTATTTGGAGGTTCTTTGGAGCTTTTCAGGATCCTTCTGCCCAGGGTAAATTTTCTTGAATGTTAGGAAAGAAAAGGAAAACAAAACAAAAACAAAAACTCATGCTAAAACTTACAGTTTATTTTTAAAGTTCATCTTTGTGAATATTTTCTTCTGTGGCTTATGTTAATAGGGCAAGGCATATGTCTGTAGCTGAATTAGTGTGGGTGTGCTATGTTAGACAGGACTATGATTTAGACAGGAAAAGATGCTGAAATGATCTGAGAAATATGTGGCTGATGAACTTAATACCTGGATATGGAGTTAAAACCTAATCTCCCATGTTAGCGTGTCTATTTGTGATGTTCGTATCAGGATATAATGATACATTCACTGGTATCCAGGGTTCAAAGCACCTCCTCTCCAAGTAACTATTCTATTGTCCCTCAGAATTAAGACAACATTCTCTGGAGGCAAGTGAGGATTAAATAAAAGGTTATGCAGGAACAGAGCTCATAATAGAAATAACATTTACTTAGGCTATTTTATAGCTGGATTAAGAATATACATAATATATATAAAGCTTCATGACCCTGTAATTATTCTGCATGATGCTAACATTTGACCAATTTCCCTCCTTTTGCGAATGGCAGGACTGGGGTTTGTGGAGGGGAAATATGGCATGATGATAAATTTACAAAGAATGAAAGCAGTTCATTTATTGGAACATCAGACACTTCGATTTTTTTTTTTTTTGGAGACAAGGTCTCAAGTATCCCAACATGACCTCAAATTGGCGATGTAGTTTGGAATGACCTTGAAAGTTGGATCCTCCTGCTTCTATCTCCAGAATACTGTGACTATGGCCATGCAACACCACACCTAGTTTATGTGCTGATGGGGATCCAACCCAGTTTTTTAAAAACTATTTTATTATTTTTTTATTTTATGTGTATGCATGTATTGCCTGCATGTAGGTAAGTACACCCGTGTCATGTGATGCCCGCGGAGGACAGAAGAGGCTGTCAGATCCCCTGGAACTGGAGTTAAGGACAGTTGTTAGCTGCCATGTGTGTACTGGGATTTGAACCCGGGTCTTCTATAAGAACAGTCAGTGCTCTTAACTGCTGAGCCATCTCTCCAGCCCCCCAACCCAGTTTTTAATGCATGCTAGGTAAATCAACTGAACTATATCCCCAGCGTCAGTTTCAAAATCCTCGGTTGATAGTTTACACTATAATTTACTGAACACTTTCATTTTGTACCATATTTTCTAAAAGTAATTTCTTCTGGTTTGTGTCAACACAAAGCACTGAACTTCTTTAACAAAGTACTCACCTTCCCTAGGGTAGAGCAAAGGTCTCATAACCAATGGTCCTCATGACTACGAGAGTCTTTTGCCCTTATTCTCCAGGGAGCCTGGAATCGAAACACCAGTTGCCCAGTGACTGTCAAGATGAGTGACAACGCTTCTCTGGTTCCCCCAGCACCAAGCCAGGGTCTTACTACCCCCTGCAAAGGACCCTCTAAGTTCAAGCAGAGGCAGAATCGCCTGTTGAAGAGCAAGCCTCCTGAGAAAGGCATTTGAAAGGGTACGAGCAGGATGGAAAGGAAGGCTGTCCATTACTTTCCGCTCCCACAAGACGGCTATCATTTTGAGAAGTACTGTTCGTGGTATTAAACAGACTTAGGAGATCTACTTCTCAAAGTCGTCTTTGGTGAATCATGTCTGCAATCCTGCAATCCCTTTCCCTCTTAGCTCCCAGGTCCCTGGCCAGTTAATTTTAACAGGAAAATGGAGCTTACTACAAAGACTTTTGACTTGACCCTCCAGGCCTTATTTGTCCAGACTTTTTCCTGACACATCCTGTGTTTTTACCACCAACGTTTCCAGAAAACACAGGACTTCATTTTGTTTCCTTTTTGTTGCTGTTTCTCTCTTTGTAGCTTGAATGTTTGGTTCTCCATTTTTCTCTCTTGCTCCTTAGAAAAATCCTATTTTCAAAACATATGCCATATTAATTTCACTTATATTGTCTCTTAAGCTTACCATTACTTTCACATTTGTGTTATGATAACATTCAGCTGCCACGACTTATATTATTTCACATTGTATTTATTTATTTACCTCTGTTCACTAGGGCTAAAATCACTCAGAAGAAATTTGGTTTTCCCTTTATTCTCTATGCCTAACAGGAAGCTTGGTATGCAGTCCATTAATGAACTAAAATTTTAATGTTTTGTGGCTTGGTCATCTCAATTTCCATTTTAAAAAGTGAAGCTTAGGGGCTGGTGGGAGGGCTCAGTGGGTAAAGGTCCTTGCTGTGCAAGTCTGGCAACTTGAGTTTGAACCCCAGAACCCACATAAAGGTAGAAGGAGAGAACCAATTCCACAAAGTTGTTGTCTGATCCCCCCACCTCTCTCTCTCTCTCTCTCTCTCTCTCTCTCTCTCTCTCTCCACACACACACACACACACACACACGAAATGGAAACATTTTCAAAATGAAGATAGCTGGGTATGGTGGTGCAGACTTTTAATCCCAGCACTAAGGAGACAGAGGCAGGCAGATCTCTGTGAGATTGAAGATAGCCTGGTCTACATGCAAGTTCCAGGCCAGCTGGGGCTACAGGGAGACCCTGTCTCAAAACAGTAACAACAAAAATAAAGCTTAGCTTGGGTAATAGGTCAGTTAGTAGGGTGCTTGCCTAGCACTCATGAAGCCCAAGGTTCATTTGAGCTCCACATAAACCAAGTGTGGGGGAGTGTGTCTGTCATCCTAGCACTCTGGAGGTAGATGCAGAAGGATGAATAGTTCAAGGGCATCCTCAGCTGCATAGCTAGTTCAAGGCCAGTCTGGGCTACAAGAGACCATGTCACAAAAAGAGAAGCTTGGCTAAATTGTCCTCTGATCACTCATTCTGGCTTTCTGTTGTCTTTCGCTGAGTATCTAGAGGGGAAACATACCCACTCTCTACTAGGGATATACTGAGACATGTCAGAGTGACATTTTCTTGACTCCCGTTGAATACAGATAGAGGAGTTTCTCAAATGAAAATACCTAAACTCCTTTTCCCTTGAGTCAAGAAACAGTTCATGTAATTTTAGGGTCTCTTTGCTCTGATCTCAGCTAATATGTTTTATTTATTTGTTTTTGCCTAGGTTCGGAGATGATATCCCAGGCATGGAGGGGCTAGGAACAGGTGAGCTATGGGGACACTGAACACTTTCTGTCTGAAGTTTCCTCCTTGCAGAAATTTTAGGCTTCAAGGGGCAGTGGAAATTTACAAATTTACAATATCCAAGGCAGCAGATCCTTTGAAGACAGAAAAATGGAGATTTAATTTATCTTCCTAAGTAAGTATGTGTGTACCTAGATGCAAAAATGCTAAAAGAAAGCCAGGTGTGGTGGCGCACTCCTTTAATCCCAGCACTTAGGAGGCAGAGACAGGCAGGTCTCTGTGAGATTGAGGCCAGATTGGTCGACATAGGGAGTTCCAGTTCATCTGGGGCTTCAGGGAGACCCTGTCTCAAAAAGACCAAAAAAAAAATGCTAAAAGAAAGGCCAACTATAGACTCATGAACTCTAAGATTCTCAAAAGTGCATCCATTCCACCTTTATTTTTGAGAAGAGGAATTTGAGGCACAGAGAGTACCAGTGTGAGGCCACAGACTGAGGTATTGGAAATAAAGGCGGGCCTGGAGAACCCTTCCATTCTAGCAGACAAACCACTCCTTATCAACTTCCTCCTCTTATGAATTCCATAGCTCCTCGAACAAGGGCACACATTGAATGCATCTGAATGATCTTTTTAATTGACCAGACTATTTTCATTTATTAGATGATGATTACAAATGCTGTGGGTAATTTTGAAAAATGTTAATAGACTGTTTCTTAAAGAAGGTTTAGATTTACAGGAGAATTTAGCACAAGGCCAAGAGGACTCACAGAATTCTCACTTCTGCTTTTACAGTTCCCTATTATTAACTTAATGTGTTGGCGCATTTATGCAACAGGATGAGTCACAGTCCATACATTCTTGCTGTAGTAAATGAAGCCCTAGCTGGTTTGCTGTGCTGTAGGGTTCTAAGGGTTTTGACAATTGCATGGAATTGTGTAACCACCATTACTATGTCATGCAGAATGTTTCACTGTCCTCAACATTCCCTGACAGCGATATCTTCCTTTCCCAGCCCCAGACCTCTGAACACCATAAGCCTTTTACTTACTGTGTTTTTCCTTTACTTTTTCTAGAATATTGTCTACTTAGAACCATGTAGTACGTAGATTTTCTACACTGACTTCTTCCACTTAGCAATATTAATTTATGCTTCCTCCATGTCTTTTTAGTATTCAACAGCTCATTTCTTTTTTTATTGCTGAATACTATTCCATTTATGCATATACTACAGGCTGCTTACCCTATTAAAGGACATCTTGATTTCTTTCCATCATTAGCAATAATGAATAAAGCTGCTGTGTCTGTCTGTGCATATCCTGCATGTGCGTGCATGTGTGCAGGATTTGTGTGGATATAAGTTTTTTAAAAAATGTATTGAATTTTTATGGGCTGGAGAGATGACTCACTTTTTTTGCAATTTTTATACAATATACTTTTATGGTATTTAGATTCCCTTTCCTAGCTGCACCTCTCCTTACTTCCTCCCCCATGCTCTCTAATATGTATATTAATAACATATATATCTTGTAGAGTCTGATTTGTATCCCCAAATTTCCTTCAGTGTGGGTCTCTCCACTGGAGCCTGTTTGACCTACCAAGAGTCCCATCCCCTTTAAGGTGTTTCCTAGCCACTGTTATTTCTTCTTTTGAGAGTTGTCTGTTCACATCCATAGCCCATTGTTTAATTGCATCATTTGTTTTCTTCCCTGATGTTTGAGTTCTTTGAACATTCTAGATATGAATCCTCTGTCAGATGTGTAGCTGCTGAAGATTTTCTCCCACTCTGTGAGTTTCCTCTTCACTCAATTGGTTGTCTCCTTTGCTGTAGAGAAGCCTTTTAGTTTAATGAGGTCCCATTTGTTGATTGTTCACCTTAATTCCTGAGTGACGAATTCCTGATTCCTTTCCCTGCACCTTTATTTTCTTGGGTACTGCCCATGTTTTCTTTTAACGTTTTAAGCATTTCAGGATTTACATTAAGGTCTTCGATCCACTTGGAGTAAACTTTGGTGCAGGGTGATGGGTATGAATTTAATTTCATTTTCTGCATGTGGAAATCCAGTTTTGCCGGCGCCATTTGTTGAAGATGCTGTCTTTCCTCCAGTGTTTTTGGCGCCTTTGTCAAATATCAGGTGACTGCAATTGCATGCACTCATGTTTGGGTCTTCTATTGTGTTTCATTGATCTACAAGCCTGTTTTGTGCCAATACAATGCTAATTTTATGACTATAGCTCTATAATATACTTTGAGGCCTGGTATGGTAATTCCCCAAGGATTGCTCTTTGTGCTCAAGATTGCTTTGACTACCTGGGGTCTTTTGTGTTTCATATGAATTTTAGGATAGGCTTTTCTACTTCTGTGAAGAATGTCATGGGGATTTTGAGTGGGCTTGCATTGATTCTGTAAATCGCTTTTGATAGGATGGTCGTTTTCACAATATTAATTCTACTAATCCATAAGCGCGAGGGGGCCTTTCTGTCTTCTTAGGTCTTCCTCAGTCTCTTTCTTCAAAGAGTGAAAGCTTTCATTGAAGAGATCTTTAATGTCTTGGTTAGGTTTAGCCCTAGAGATTTGGTAGGGGGAGCTATAATGAGGGTTTCCACGAATTCTTTCTCTGATTGCTTGTTATTTGTATATAGAAAGGATACTGATTTTTGTAAATTAATTTTGTATCCTGCCACTTTGCTGAAAATGTTGCTCATTTCTACAAGTTTTCTGGTGGAATTTTTGGATCTCTTATGTGTAATATCATATCATCTACAAATACTGATAATTCACCCTCCTCTTTTCTACTTAGTACCCCTTTAATTTCCTTTTCTTGTCTTATTGCTCTAGCTAGAGTTTCAAGCACAATATTAAAAAGGATTGGGGATAGTGGCCAGCCTTTTCTGGTTCCTGGTTTTAATGGGAATGCTTCCAGTTTTCCTCCATTTAGAATGATGTTCCCTGTGGGTTTGTTATATATAGTCTTAATTATGTGGAAGTGTGTTCTCTTCAGTCCAATTCTTTCTAGGACATTTATCATGAATGTATGTTGGATTTTGTCAAAGACCTTTTCTGTGTCTTTTGAGATGATCCTGTGATTTTTGTCTTTAAGTCCATTTATATGATTTATTAAATTTATTGGCTTACATATATTGAACCATCCCTGCATCTCTGAAAAAAAGACAACTTGGTCATGGTGGGTGATCTTTTTGATGTGTGTCTATATTTTTTTGAGAATTTTTGTATCAATGTTCATTAGGGATATGGGCCTATAGTTCTCTTTTTTGCTATGTCTTTTTCTGGCTTTGGATATTAGAGTAATCTTGGCTTAGTTTGGGGATTCTCTCTCTATTTTTGTCTTTTTAATAATTTAAGTAGTATTGCTCATAGATCTTTGAAGGTCTGGTAAAATTCTGCTGTGAGTCCATCTGGGGCTGGGCTTTTTTAGTTAGGAGGCTTGTTTCAATTTCCTTAGTTATTATGAATCTGTTGAAACTGTTGATCTCTTATTGGTTTAACTTTGGTGGTTTCAGTGAATTTAGAAATTCATCCATTTCTTTTAGATTTTCAAACTGAATAGAGTATAGATTTTTAAACTATTCCCTTATAACGTTCTAGATTTTTTTGATGCCTGCTATGATGTTTCCCCTTTTATCTCTGATTTTATTGAACTGGATTTGCTCTTTCTTTCTTTTGGTTAACTAGGCTAAAGGTCTGCTTATATTGTTTATCTTTGCAAAGAACCAGCTCTTAGATTCATCGATTCTTTGTATTGTTTTCCTTGTTTCTATTTTATTCATTTCTGCTCTGATTTCTATTATTTTTTATCTGTTGGGTTTGGGTTTGATTTGTTCTTGCCTTTCCAGATTCTTGAGTAATACCATCAAGTCATTTATGTCTGCTCTTTCTGATTTTTTAATGTAGGTGCTTAAACCTATAAATTTCCTTCTTAAGACTGCTTTTAAAGTGTCCCAGAGGTTTTGTTGTGTTGTATTATCATTGTCACTGAGCTCCAGGAATACTTTTATTTCTTTTGTGACTTCTTCTTCCATCATTCAAAGGTATGTTGTTACATTTCCATGAGTTTGTGTAGTTACTAGAGCTTCTTTTGCTGTTGATTTTAAGCTTTATTGCATTATGATCTGATAGACTGCATGGAATTATTTTAGTTTTGGGGTATCTGTTGAGGTTTGTTTTGTGCCCCAGAATATGGTCTATTTTAGAGAAACTTCAGTGGGCTGCTGAGTAGAATGTGTGTTTGGGTGGAATATTCTGTAAATGTGTTATGTCCATTTGAAGGATGATATTTAATTCAGATATTAAATCTCTGTTTACTCTATGTTCAGTCGACTTGTCTATTGGAGAGAGTCAGGTATTGAAGTCACTTACTATTACTGATTTGGGGTTAATCTGTGTCTTGAAGTCCTATAGTGTTGTTTTTATGAAATTGGGTGCACTAGAATTTGGTGTAAAATATGCTCACAATTGTAATGTCTTCTTGGTCAATTGCTTACTTGATCAGAATGAAGTGATCTTCTTTATCTTTTACATTAATTTTAATTTGAAGTCTTTTGTCAGATATTAGAATTGCCATGCTTGCTGGTTTCTTAGTACCATTTCCTTGGAATTATTTTTTCTCCCATCTTTTCACCCTAAGGTAATAGAGGAATTTTGTTTCTTAATCCATTCATCTAGTCTGTGTCTTTTGACTGGAGAGTTAAGACCATTGGTATTTGAATTTATTATTGAAAGATGTGTATAGGTTGCTGTCGTTTCAATTTTCTATTTGTGTTCTTAGTCTTGTCTCTGTAACTGTTCCTTCATTTGTTTTTGTTCTGTAACCTCGTGAACATGGTCATTTCTCTGTTCAGTCCTTTGTTTTGCTTTGCGTATTCTCTGTAGGGCTTGTTCGGTGGACATGAATTCTTTTAACTTTGAATCATGGAAGATCTTTCTTTCCATTTTGACTATGATAGGCAGTTTTTCTGGGTAAAGCATTCTGGGTTGGCATCTGTGGTCATTTAGAACTTGGAATACTTTGTGCCAGGCTCATCTGGTTTTTATAGCTTGTGCTAAAACGTCAGCTGTCGTTCTGATGGGTTTGCATTGTCTGTAACTTGCCTTTCTCTTGCAACTTTCAGTACTCTGTCTTTGCTCTGCACATTTAATGCTTTTACTCTGCTATGCCACGGGGAACTTCTGTTCTAGTTCTGTCTACTTGGTGTTCTGTGTGCTTCTTATATCTGTATGGGTATGTCTTTCCTTAATTTAGGGAAATTTTCTTCTATAATCCTATTGAAGATCTGGTCAATGCCATTGACCTGAGATTCTTTTCCTTCCTCTATGCTTCTGGTGCATAAATTTGGTCTTTTCATGGTGTCCCACATTTTCTGAATATTCTATTCCTGTGTTTTGAAATTTTTTCATATTCTTTGCTTAAGCAGTTCAATGCTTCAACTTTATCATCCAATCTTGATTTTCCATTTCATTCATTCTGCTGGTGAGACCTTCTCCTGTCATTTCAAATGGACTCATTGAGCTTTTCAATTCCATCTTCATTTCGGCCTGTTTTCTTTAATAGTTTTATATCTATTGTGAATTCACTTTTCATATCCTGAATTGTCTTTGTCATTTAAGGCATCCCTATATTTGTATTTTCTTGAACTTCAGTCAGGAGTTGACCCCATCCTCTGTGAGTTCTTCATGTTTTCTTTAAATTCATGAATTCTTTGATTATATTTATGATTGTTCTTTTTAAATTCTGTGTCCTGGGGTTTCTCTAGGTAGTTCTCATTGTAGCACACTTCTGTAGGACTGGTGGGATTTGGTGGGGACACACTATCTTTGTTTTTCATATTACTTATGTTTCTGTTTTGTGACCTGGGCATATGGAACTATTTGTTGGTTGGGTTTCTGACATGAAATTCAAGCCCGATTTTGTTGAGTTGACGTTTGATTCTGTTTATATTATTTGGTGTAGCTTGGTTGTTTCTGATCAGCTATGAATGATTAGTTGGTCTGTGTTTCAGATTTTCTCTTTTGACTTCTTTAATGGAGGGATGGGATGGTTCCAGGCAGGTTACTTAGTAGCTCTCCAGCTGGGTGCAGGATCCTAGGCCCAAGTCAGGGTGATAGGGATCAACTGAGCCAGTTCTAACTAACTAGCAGAGAAGGTGTGAACCCTGGAGCAGTGCTACTGGGCCTATTCCCAAAGCAAGAGGATGGTGACCCTGTGACCTGGCAGAGCAGGGGATCTGGCTAACTCACCCAGCTAGTCATGTGCTCTCTGGCAGCCTCAGTGGGAAAGGGCTGTGTGGATATAAGTTTGGAACTCATCCAATACAGTAAATAAATGGTGATAATCATTTTCTGTGGTCAAGCACCACTTCTGGGATCTCAAATACATTTTCCACCTTTTTTTTTTGGTCTTTTTGAGACAGGGTCTCCCTGTAGCCCCAGCTGTCCTGGAACTCACTATGTAGACCAGGCTGGCCTTGAACTCACAGAGATCTGCCTCTGCCTCCTGAATGCCAGGATTAAAGGCGTGCGGCATGACGACTGGCATTTTCCACCATTTTTAAAGCTCATTTGCTGTTCTTTTGGATTAATGCCTTTTATAATTGAGTTAGGTATAGATAGGCCAGCAGGTTTGTGTTGAGTTCTGGAAGATAGGCTAACCTGCTCCCCCGCAACTACCCTCAGAACATTGGAAAGTGTACGATTTCTATTGAGGGAAGGTCTAATGTCTTTGACTTAGTTTATGCTTCATCTATGTAACTGTAATTCATGGCTGCTTGTTTGATCCCTCTGGGTGTCAGTCAGCTTCTCTGTAAAAAAGGGAAGATAACATCTTTGAAATAAGAGACTGGAGTAGATGATGTTTTGAGGTCACTGCTTAACATGTGATTTGAGACAGACATCTCAAAATGTACAGGAACTGAAGAACAAGTCAGAGAAGCTCACGGGATCCATTTGAATCTATAGGAAGGTGATAGAATCCAAGATTCGTGGAATGTAAAGTGTTCCTAACTCTCATTTTACTCCTTGGCTGGACGATAGTCCCACTCTGTTTTCTTGGTGGTTCAGCATTTGGGAGTCTCAGTGAGCTGTAACCTCAGCTGAGTTGTGGTCTGCTCCACAAATAAGGTGCAAAATGAAACAGCTAGGAGATAAGCAATAGTTATGCAATTGTCCTGAGCCTCCCTGGGCTACAAAGTCATTCCACAGGTCTTCCCAGGTATGGAGAGTAGAGGAGATTCGGCTGCCTGGAGGATGTCTATTTTTTGCAGAAGAGACTGTGCTGGGGAAAGGTCTGCTGAGCTGTTCTTGCATCTCTTGCAGATATCATGGTGATCTGTCCCTGGGAAGCATTCAGCCACCTGGAACTGCATGAGCTTGCTCAGTTTGGGATCATCTGAAGCACTGAGCTCTGCCCCTCTCAAGAGCATCTACTGGAAATTTCATTGCTTTTACCTAATTGCTCTGTCTGAACCTTGAAATTCTGTATTTGAATTTGAAATACAAATATATTTCTTTGAAATACACGGTCGTGACTCATGAGTAACTACAAGTGTTCTTTCTTGCAATGTAGCTCCACTTCCTTAGTGAATAAAAAGGCATTTTGTTAAGGACATTTTAAACGTTTTACCTTTTCTTATCAGCTAGTTAGAAGACATTCAAATTTCTCTACATTTTGTTTCAGCGTTGTTAGGCACTTGCTATGTTAGCAGTGGACTTATAGGACGACGTGTATGTATTTGAGAGGCTCAGAAAGCAGGATTACCACAAGTCTGAGGTCAGCCTGGGCTGTATAGTGATTTCCATGCACGCCTGAGCTAGAGTGTGGGGATATCTTTCAAAAAGAGAAGAAAAGGAGAAGAGGAGGAGAAAGAGGAGGAGTATGAGGAGTAGAGGAGGAAGAGGAGATAGAGGAGGAAGAGGAGATGGAGGAGGAGGAGGAGAAGGAGGAGGAGGAGGAGATGG